TGTCTGAGCGGGCTCGTGATGACGATCAGCTCATTCTAGGATAATAGGCTACCCTGGGTATAAATTTATTTTTATTTTCTTTCCGTGTATATACTATAAGTAATTCTTTTGTGTCCCTGTCTCCTCGCACTCTCTTCGACCGTTTAGTTAATTTTTCTTCACCTACATAACAAAATACCTACATTTTAGTTTAATTCCCGTTACCGCGGTTAAACAGTTATTTACCAAGTGAATAGCAAAGTTAATAATTTTTTTTTCTTTTCTCTGCGACCGAAAAATACATTTTATTTTAATTTTTACGTCTGATTGAGACTAGTCGCGAATCAATACCGTCCGTTTTGTTTCTTTTTTATATTCAGGGTTATATTGACTATCACCACAACTGGGGTGGGCGTTGAAATATTTAATTTCTTTTTTTTATTGTAAATAGTTAACCCCCTTATATTTCAGCTAGTGATAAATTTTGTACGAACCCAAACAACGATTAAAGCCCGTTACTTGTGGCCTACTATTACCTGTGTCTAAGTGACCTTTGACCCCTGAAATTTTTCATCTCCATCTGTAGCTACCCGAGTACTTTCGACGCCGTTTCGAAAGTTTGTGGAGTAAACCATCATCAAAAATCTGGCGATCGAGAACCGCCCGTAACCACCGTCATTCGTAAGGAACCGTTTTCTCTGTGGCGAGAAAACCCCTTACACTAGTCACATGTGAATAATTTCAGAAAAATCGTTTTACCCACCATAAGCAAACATTTTACTTGTCCCATATAGTATTATACAACTTTTTATTTGCACTAAGTAAAAGTTTTCTAACAGTTAGTGAATTTTTTTCCGTGTAGCTTAAATATTAAAAAGTCCGTTATTTTATATAGAGAGCACAGTATATTTTACCAATATTTTAATTATCTTTTAGAAACTTTCCAAAATATATTTCCTATACCTATCTGTAATAGTCTTTGAAAAATTATCGTAGTTATAAATTATGAAAATAATTTAATAAATGATATGTAATTTATATATCATAATAATTATGTTTTTTTTTAAATGGTGTATACTTTGTATACCTAATAATAAGAAGTATCTATCCACCAACAATACTAATATGTATTGAAATGATATCATACTGTATATCATTTTTTTTTAATTCAATTTTAAAAATTATTTACCCCGGCTCACTACTGTGATTTATAATTAGAACAAAAGATTTTCATAATCTCAGGGGTGCTTTAAAATTATTAAAAATAACACTTGTTTTACTTTGTTTTATCTTCTTTTATGTATTATATTTTAATTTATTTAATTTTTTATTTAATTTAAATTTATTTTAATTTCATTTTATATTTTATTTTTTTTTAATTTTATTAATTTTATTAATTTTATTAGATTATATTAGAAATTATGCAGAATGACCCCAGACAAAAAAAAAATTGATTTCTATATTTATAATATTGAGCGATTAGATGCTTGAATAAACAAACTCTTACAAATTCGAATCTAATTTTAATAAATAACACTATCAAAAAAAAATTGAACAAATATCAGGTATTCAATACCTGGCATAAATAAAAAGTTTAAAGAAAAACTAATAACTAGCCTACTACACTTACTACTAAATAAAAAAAATAACTCTTGTTAAATAAAAGTTACAAAATATAATAAGTAGTATCGTGAGATTTGGCTATCACTGGCCCATTTATGAAGAGTTATTTGAAATCTAAACTATAATTATATTTACAATTATTTACTTTTTGAAACAAACAACTTGATATGATTATCCATTTATAACTAATAGTCTGTAGGGGTACTGTCGACTTTAGGTCCAGTAAAATTTTAAAGAAATTTATTTTTTATCAGAAAGAGCGTATTTTAAATAGTATATTTAAAAAAAAAAAATTGCGGTAAATGCATTATTTAAGCCAAAAAAAATTATTTAATTTCTATAAAAATCAGCATTTTGACGACTGTAAACATGGAAATTCGATGGTTTCTGTCAAATTTAGTAAATATAATTACAACGTTACCGGATTGTGATAAAATTAGTAGTTAATGGAAAATTGTGATTCCGCATACCGATCCATAAATATGCAACAAGAAAACGAAGCAACGACTTCATATAAACACATTTATATTCTGGTTTTATTATTTGGCTTGGAGCTATTGAAAAAACAGCCACTGTCATTCCTGTTATGTACGTTCTTTTACTATGTTTGACAACTCCACATTTATAGAAATAAAAATATCAGTTGCCATATTATTCATAAAAAGTAATATAGAACGGTATTACCATGAATATATTTATTTATAACAAATAACAAAAAGCAATTGGCAACATCGCCAAAATCATGCACAGGCGCTCTTAGTGTGACTGTCAAAAAAACAATATGGCTACGTGAGAATGTAGTGAATAAATGCATATTCTTAATTTTTTAGCTTACAAATGTATTTTAATAATATTTGTTACTTTAATTAGGTTAGTGCACACTTATAGAAGATTAAAGAGTGTAAAAATATTATGGTTTTACTTAATCTTTATGGAAAAAGTGACAAAATTACTGGACCTAATATCGACCGTAGCCGTTTGTAGTTGCACAAAAACAAATAAAAATGTTTTATAAATACCGTATTCACTTTTAGGTCACTGCTGTGTCCTGGTCACCCTTATTTCATACGCCTATCAACTTTTCTATACTTTTCTCTTCTTCTCCTTCTCTCATAAAATCTTATGATTCGTATTACCTTTTATACCATGCCTTTAATCGTTTGTTTATTTAACTTTTCATACATAACTTTTACATTACAATCCTATTCTTATTTTAAAATTTTTGTCACAGTTTTTCCAAAATTCAAAATTGACAACCACCATTTTTTTTTAATCAATCTCCCATCCTTCAAAAACCCGATTCCAAATTAAATTCTTATACAGAATGTCACTGCATAATTTCAATATGTAAAATTTACTTTGTTAATTTTAAAGTGAAAAATTTAGCATAACTGTATATAGTTAAAGGAAGATGAAAACCAACTTTTTTTTAAAGGGTTAAAAAAGGAGAGCGTTTTTTAATGAAAATATGATATATTTATTTTTAAAACGAAACAAAAGGTAATTCAAACTTGACCCAATAATTCTTTCATAATATTGGTATGTAAAAAGTACTTAAACTTATATTATTATGATACATTTAGGGCCGATCCTTTTACCTCTGAGTAAAGTCACATGTAGGTTTACTTGACAGATTAACAAACAATAGCCCTATACGAGTAGTTTAATCAGCAAGTAGTTACTTTCAACTTTACTCAGATATGAAAAAACTGGCCCTTAGTATCTTATTTTAGAGCTGCTAAATATTATAACACTATAAACCCTAATTCAAGCTTTATTAACTTATTTTTATGTATAATTAACGACTCACAAAAGTTCTTTAAAACAGATCTTTTTGAAACACATCTTCTGAATTAAATTAATTTGTATATTATTATCATAATATTAGGTATATCAATAAATAATAATTAAAATATTTTGCAAAGTCATTTTATACGCACAACCTTCACATTAAATGATTTGTAATTTTTGAATTGGACCTGTTTGATATCCGTTATTCACAAGATAAAAAATGGTAAAATTATAATATCAACACAAATAAAATAATCTTGTTTCGAGGTCAATATTTAGTTATTTAATAATATGGTATTAAATTATAAATAATACATTGTTTATTTATTATCTGTCAAAAAAATTGAGCATATACAAACACTATTCTAGCGAACGCACTTGCAATTTTATTGGTAGAGACAGGGTTCTAACTAGGTGAAGTTTTTAACTGTAAATTAAAATAAAGTGATATATTTTTAGAATAAAGTATTTCTGCTAACAGAGTGACACAGAAATCAAAATTCATTCTAATTAAAAAAAAAAGAGTAGATTATTTTAAAGAAAATTGTACTTTCAAAATTCTTCAGTTATTAATATAACATTAAAGTAATCTTGACAACGCCAATCAGTAATAAAAAAAGGAGTTAAGTTACGAATTTTGAACTTAGATCTAATAAATGTCTTAACTTTTAATTTTAAAGAATATATAATAATTAAAATAATTGATTGACAACATGGGTTTTTCAGACGAACTGCTCCCAAAGTATGGCTTTCAAAAGCAATATACAGTAAGTATACCAGACAGGGAAGCGTGTAGGGGAAGACGAGAAGACCTCCTATTCACGCAGAATTCCCCTGGTATACAGAAGGCCCCAAAACCCATAAAGGGTCTGTAATAGGTAGATATGGTATCAAGCCAAAGACAAGAATCTCACTGAGCTTAGGTAAACCTGCGACAGTATTCCAGGCAGAACTATCAACAATAAATCACTGCGCAAAAGAGATAATAAAACATAAGGTAAATGGAAATACCATTGTCATATATTCAGACAGTCAAATAAAAGCCCTTGGTTCCATGCAGGTACACTCAAAGCTTGTGTGGGACTGTTTGGAAGCCCTACAAGAGCTGGGTAGTCAAAACAGATTTAGCCTGGATACCAGGCGGCAGAGGACATAAGGACAACGAAGAGACTGATTTACTAATTCGAGAAGGAGACTCAAAGGCTCTTATTGACCCAGAATCCTTCTGTCGTATCACAAAGACAGCTATCAGAACACCAGGGGCAACTAGCTACGCTGGAGATCTATTTCCTTGTCTATGGGGTCTACTACAAAAGAACAAACTAGACAAGATACCCTAAACAACGATTAAAGGATATCCGTAATAGATCTGAAAAGGTCGAGGTGAGGGAAGCCATAGTCCTAACTAAATCTAATCTGATCTATTGATATTCCCACCATAAGATACATTAAAATTGCAATTAATATTATTTAATTCAGAAAACAAAGTGAATTTTACGAAATTTATTGTATCCGTAAAGACAACCACAATCTCTGCATTAGAGTCTATATATTTTTACATTTTCTCACATCTGGTTATAGGAAGTAAAAATTGCTTTTTTTTTCAGATGTTACTAACCTCATCCTGGATTATTGACTCGGCGATAATTTTATCAACTTTAACTTATCTATTCTATAAATATGTTACAAGAAATTTCGACTACTGGAAAAAGCAGGGCGTGTTTTATTTTGAACCAACTCCATTCGTTGGAAACTTCGCTGATGTTGTTACTATGAAAAAAACAGTCGCTGAAACTCTCAAAACCCTTTACGACAAAACTGACGAACCATACTTCGGAGTTTTTGCTTTCGATGAGCCCATTTTAGTAATAAAGTCACCTGAGTTACTAAAACTCATCTTGATTAAAGACTTCACTTACTTCAGACAGCGCACGATTGCTGAAGGAAGTCATAGTAAGTTAATTTCAAACTGGTTATTTTTCCAAAGGTACTCAGCATGGAAAAAAACTCGTTCTAAACTGTCCCCGATATTTACTTCCGGCAAACTCAAAAATATGTTACATTCTGTTAGCGATACTTCCGAATTATTCGGACATTACTTAAACGATCATTTGGGAGTTTTAGAAGCAAAAGAACTTTGTGTAAAATTCACAACAGACAGCATTGTGAAATGCTTTTTTGGTATCAATGGAAAATGCCTCGAAGAGGGTCACAGTGATTTGAACGCAATCAGTGAAAGAGTTTCCGAAATAAGTATCAGAAATAGTATCATTCAGTTCTTGTATATGTTCAAGCCTTTTTTGGTGGACTTGTTCAGGTTGGATTTTCTGAAGAAATCGGACCTTGATTATCTTCTGAAAGCTTTCGAAACCAGCTTCAACAGTAGGAAGGCACAAAAAAATGGAATCAAAGGGAAAGTCGTGGATTATATTGATTTGATGTTGGAAAGTGAAGATACTAATGGCACTTCAACGTCTGAGTATGAATCAGGTATGTAACAACATATTATTTTAACTTTTTTTAGGATTATAATAATTTGCTGATCATGCAGTTTGTGGCATTGAACTGGAAATACATTTTTTTACCTATTTATAGATTGTTACCTAAACTTAAACATCTCCGTATTCGAGGTAAGCTATAACTGTGGATAAATGATTACGTCACCAAGTAACACACCACACACCAAGTTAGAAAATGTTGCTATAATTAATTAAAACATTATAAAACACACGTAAACGACACGTTAAACAAATTAAATTTGTATAACTGGTATACAAATTTTTAATAGTGTAGAAACTAATTAATGGACTTTTTTGTTAGACTGTTTTAAAATTTACAATATATGTGGTTGTCATAACGTTTCTATAACGTTTGAATTACAACTACTTATAAAAAATACATATTCACCTAATAATTACCGTTTTAATATCGTTGTAAACGGAATAGTTACTATTAGGTTTATCCAGAACTACTACAAACTGCTTCAGTGGTTCTTTGCTGTAAATTATATAATACAGCGTTATTATAGAAGTTGTACAATGGTTGAATGTGTAAATTATTATATCCCTAAAATTTATTATCTTTCTAACTGTTTTATAAACTTTATAAGAGAAATATCATGTATCCGAGAAAGAGGTGGCCCTTATAGATGTAAAAAACAGCCTATTTATTCTGGACGCAATGAAGAACTTCAAGAACTACAAATTGAGAATATTTTAAACACAGATTTGCAGTACCTACTTATACAATAAAATCATCCGTTGTTTTCAACCAGGGCCGCCGAGAGCCAGGTCAAGCCCCTGGACAATTTTCCAGGTGGGGCCCTGGGACAATTTTCCAGTTGGGGCCCCGAGACAATTTTATACAAAAAATTAAGCCCCCTGTCAATATCACATTTCAAAGAAAAAAAGCTCTTGTGCCGCTGCCGGGCCCCCACTTGTGCCCGGGCCCCGAGAATTTGTCCCCTCTCGTTGAAATCCAAATTATTCGTACGACTATTAAACTGTCCACTGGTTAACTATTTCTCTGATAGTTTTCAATGTATTTTTGAAGAACCCGAACAAACTTATATTTAAACAGACCCCCTTAACCCCCATCTTTATTTAAATTTTTTTCAGAATCAATACGCTTCATCCCCTTTTCTTAAAGATTTTAATTAGATATCGTTTTTTATTTCTAAGTTAGGATTTTTTTTTAATATTTAAACCCCTCTTATCCCCCAATTTTAATTCAGAATTAATAGGCTTTATATCCTTATATAACTTGATTTTTACTAAAAATTTCATGTTGATATCGTTTTTGGTGTTTGATTTCTATTTTTTATTTCAGCCCCCCTTAACCCCTCATTTTGTTCACAATTTTTTTTAAATCAATTAGGCATTTCAACGAACTGTCAAAATGCTGACAGTTTAGATATGGCAACCCTGTGGGCATGTTGTCATTAACAGGGTCAATGATATATGTATAGTCACATAGATTGCTCAAATCGGATCATTTGCGAGCGTCCATATCGCCTGGCAAGTGTTCGTTAATTTGAATCGCTTTAACAAAAATGTGTTTTTAAAATATATTAAAAAAAAATAATTACTTACATTTTTACTTCAAGCTAATGTCTATTTTTAAACATTGTTGATCAATCCAATAACTATCTATATCATTTACCCTGTCAAATCACCATTTTTTTTGGAATGTCTTATTGTTTTTGTCCCCTTATAGAGCTTGGTTTTTGCTGAACATTTTAAGTTATATTTTTGTTTTAAATTTAACCCCCCTTAAACCCCTCATTTTTATTAGACTTTTTTTTAATTTAAAGAGGTTTTCCCTTTTATATAGCTTGAGGTTTACTAAAAATTTCAGGTTAATATTTTTTGAGTTACGATTTTTTTTCAATATTTTAACCGTCCATTTTAATTTAGATTTTTTTCAGAATCAATAGGCTTCATTCTCTTATAGAGCTTGATTTTTACTAAAAATTTCATGTTGATAGCGGCTTTTCGTTTTTGATTTAGGATTTTTTTTATTACAACCCCCCTTAACCCCCACATTTTTATTCAGATGTTTTTCAAAATCAAATGGTTTCTTCCTCTTATATAGCTTGCTTTTCGCTAAAAGTTTCAAGTTGATATCATTTTTCGTTTTTGAGAATTTTTTTAATGTTTCATCTCCCCTTGACCCCATTTTTATTCAGATTTTTTAAAAATCAAACGGCTTCCTCCCCTTATCGAGTTTGATTTTTCCTGAAGATCTACTGTGTAAAGAGAATTTTGAATCGAATACAACGCCAAGGTCTTTAATCGTGTCAGGTCTCTGCATGACGACTCCTGCTATATTGTAATCGTATCTTATACAATCAATCTTTCGCGTATATGATATAACGTTGCATTTTGCAGGATTTAACATAAGATTATTAATTATACACCAATTATAAATTTTGTTTATATCGGATTGCAGTAACGTACAGTCATTGATGTTATCAATCTTTGAAATAAGTTTCAGGTCATCAGCGTAGAGTAAACATTGTACATTTACATTATTACAAATATCGTTAATAAAGATTATAAAGCATAAAGGACCGAAAATGGAACCTTGTGATACACCGGAAACTTGAGATATCAAGCGAGATTTAACACCACTAATAAGGATATACTGGGAACGATTACTTAAATAGGAAAGAAGGAGTGATAGTACATTGTCAGAAAACTTCAACATATTCAACTTGGATAACAAAATTGGGTGACTAAGGCGATCGAATGCTTTGGTGAAGTCAGTGTAGATCACATCTACCTGACTACCTCGGTCCAATATTTCGCTGATAAATTGAGTTTTAGTAGCTAGGTTAGTAACGGTAGATCTCCCACGAACAAATCCATGTTGTTCAGGTAAAATCGAGTTTTCGATAAGCCTGTAAAAAAATTTGGTAACAGTGATTTAGAATACTTTACTAAAATTGCAGATAATAGCGATTGGTCTATAATTTGTAATATCATTTCTGTTGCCCTTTGTGTACACCAGGACAGTTTTTGAAATTTTCCATTTCTCAGGAAAAACAGACGTGGATATTTAAAAATCCTATGGCTTAGAAACATGTTTTACATACAGAAGGTACTTTTTATTTGATCCTTTCTTTATTATTTCTTTCAAACAATAATTAAATAGTTTTAACGTGGTTTTTATATGTATTTATTACAATTTTTTGGTCATAAGAAAATTCAGCCATTTTATTCAGTAAAAAGGAACACAAATCTTGGCAAGTCGGCATAAAATAAACAAAAAATGAAATTGGGATCTCATTCTGTATTATAATTACAATATGTAGATAAAAAAAGGTTACAATAAAATGTCTTTATTTAAAATAATAATTATTTTAAAATATTATTTTTTTTTTCGTAATTTTTAAAACAGTTATTTTAAAAAAAAAATTACAAATTTTTACAAACTAAATTAAATGTTACTTCAATAAATTTTTTTTGTCAGGGAATTTAGGTAGATTGTACCTACTTTTTATACAAAATATAGTGAGATATTTATGATGTGATGTATTTTTATAAGAAGTTACTCTAAAATATTTAGTATTCTTAAATATATAAATAGTAGTCTATAGATATAACTTATTTATATCACAACATAACTCTCCATTTGTAATTACCTAATAAAATTATCTTTATGAAGTTTTAAGTTAGTTTTAACTGGAGTTATAGCAACTACTGTAAAACGTATATTATAAGGCTGTATATATCCACCAAAAGTCGCATAATAATATACAGGGTGTTTCATAATATATGCGAAGGACTTCAGGACGTGATAGCTCATCCAAAAATATGAAAGAACGATTCTATTAACCTCCCCTTTAAAATGCACCATTTTCGAGACACAGGGTGTTGAAATTGAAAAAAAATTTCTACGCCACTGGAAAAAGTACGGTTTTGAGACGCCCATTTGAACCGCCAATGCTTTCTTAAAATTTAATTTTTCTCGAAGACGGTCGACTTTAGAGCGTATGACCAAGAGTACCTTTTTTGTGTAGAAAACATTGGCGGTTCAAATGGGCGTCTCAAAACCGTACTTTTTCCAGTGGCGTAGAAATGTTTTTTTCAATTTCAACACCCTGTATCTCGAAAAGTTTTCAAGAATGAACTTCTGCCAGGGCCTGGAGGGACTGTTGGCAGTCCAGTATTAATTTGGATTGTACTTCTACCCTTTCCAGTGCTTTTTTTATAGATTACTTTGTCAGTATCAAATTTATGAAACCTATATTAGGCCGATATTTAAATAAGCGAGCTGTGTCTGGTACCCAGTACTAATCAGAGACCAAACATATTGCTGGAAAACGTACATCGCAACATTTGGCCTCTCCATAACGTCCCTCATACACGGAAAGGCTTTTCGTTTGAAAATTAATCCCCTTCTGTCAACGTGGTTTGAGAGGCAATTTTTTATATTCTTTAACATTTTGAAATTTAGATCTTCTTGAGCTTACGATGACTTCAGGAGGAATATTTTCCAGAATTCTTTGAATCTATTAAATATTTGTTCTTGTTCTTGTTGTATTTCCAATAGAGCTATTATTTGTTTTCCGGATCTTTTTGTGAAAACAGTTTTTGCGAAGGGGAAGATATTAAGGTATTTGATCATTTTTTAATTTTTTCTAGATCATTACATGGCCATGGCAAATACTATTCAGTTTTATCTAGCAGGCGTAGAAACAAGTGCTGGTTCATTATCGTTTACCTTTTACGAATGGGCAATGAATCCAGATATACAAGAAAAAGCTCGAGACGAAGTATTTGATATGTTTAAAAAACACGGTAAAATAACTTATGAAAGTATACAAGAAATGGAATATATTGACATGTGCTTAGCAGGTGAGTAACTTATATATATCGAATAGCAACAAAATATTACGAACATTTTTATGTAATGTAGCACACCAATGCATCAAACAAAATAAAGATGAGATGCTTAACAGGAATTTAATGTGAGAAACATAAAGAGAGTAACTTTGTTTAACTACGTTCTTTCGATTGCAAGGAGGGGATATTGCGGTCAGCAGTCGGCGATGTATTATTATGCTTCTGTTTATTCAATAGCATTATTTTTCTATACCGTTCTCTTGAAGTCAGTACTGGAAAGTTAACGTACTGTATGGATTTTGATTTTAAAGATAAGAAACAAACAAAAATATATAAATATTTTTTTTATCATTTTACAAAACATATTATTTAAATATGTACAACTATTTCTTCAAATGTCATAAAAAAAATTTAATTTAATTTTTTTAAATAAAAATGTTTGTGAAAATCTCATGGTTTATCTCATTTAAATACGAATTTTCATCAAGTAAAGACCGAAACAATCAAGAATTTATGTTAATTTAATTCATGCAAATATTCTGTTAGGACTATTATTTTCATAAGGTTTAGAAGATAATTTCTTTGATAGCAAGACAAATTTTAGAGTTAATTTTTAACCTTTAGGCACTTTGCAAAATTTAATTTAGTGTTCAGAGAAAAAATTGCATAATTTCGATTTCTTTAACAATTTTATCAATAAAAAAATAATAGTAATTTATATAAAAATCTCTTAACTCAGATAAAGAATGACAACAAAATACTTCTTGATAAATTTAATGAAAATTCAGTCAAATTAAAAGATCTAGAAATAAAACATCAACACGTATTAAATAGATGCCTGTACTTTGAGCGATCTCTAAGAAAAAACAATATTTTCATTTATGGTCTACACGTTTCAGACACTGAAGATTTATTGACATATATAATAACAAAATTTAAAGAGCTGCTAGACGTAGATGTTACAAAACAGGACATAAATAATATATTTACATTAAACAGCGACAATACTCCACCCATAAAAGTAGAGCTAACCACCTACATCAAGAAGAGAGAAATTCTCCAAAATTGCAATAAGCTTAAAGGCAAAAACGTATATATAAACAACGATCTTTGTAAGGAAGACAGGGAAGACCAAAAAATTCTTATAGAGAACCTTAAGGCTGCTAGGGCTAAACAGTATTCTGCTCATATTAAAGGTAAAGTGTTGGTAGTGAGCGGAGTAGAGTACACTCTTACTACGCTCAAGGGATTTAAAGTTAGCGGCAACTTTCCCATAACGAATACATCGCCTACCAGCAGTCAAAACGTTCCACAATTGTCTGAGAATTTGCAGTCACCTCCTATTTTGGAAAACAATAATTCGTCGCAAGTCATTTCTGGTAAAAGAGGAAACTCCTCACCGGCTGACTCGGTAGCAGAAAAAGAAAAAACAAAACTCTTTAGATCTAACTCCAGTTTCAGCTCCAAAAGCGACAATTCTAGTAGATCAACAAGAAGTACCGTTAAGAAATAACTTTTACAATAATATTTTTGTCCAACTCTATTAAAAATTTATTTTACGTTCCTTCAAATTCCATTTAACTTTATTTTTATATTTTGGTAAATATTTATTTTTGTTTGTAATTAATAAATAGCTGTTTAATTATGTTTAAATCATTTTCAGTTTGCCACGTTAATGCTAGATCTGTTTTGTCAAATTTTATCGAATTTAAAAATGCTGTACATAATCAGTTCGACTTAATCACGGTATCTGAAACATGGTTTAACAATTTAATAAGGAACGAATCGGTTGCCTTACCAGGATATAGACTTTTTAGACGAGATAGAACCAAAAAGAGGGGCGGAGGGGTTGCTATTTATGCTAGGCAATATTTTAATTGCAAATAACATTAAATTTAGAAAAAACTGAATCGGAACAACTGTGGATTTCAATAAATATTAATAATAAAAATTACGCCTTGTGTTCCATCTATAGACCTTCCGATTTTCCATTTCAACAATTTATAGATGAATTTGATAACTGTTTAAACGAAATAGCACCCAAATTTGATTACATTATTGCCGGAGGAGATTTTAATATCAACTATTTGGACCCCGAGAGTGCACCGAGTAAATTAATACAAACTATTCAAGATTCGTATGAGCTAATACAGGTAATTGAGCAACCTACGAGAGGGGTAAAATTGCTTGATCTCATTTTGTGCTCGGATAATCTTAAAATTGGAAATATAGATGTACGTGAATGTTCTATTTTATCAGATCACTCAATTCCTTCATGCACTATTGGATGCCAAATTAATAAACCTGAACCATTTTTGTATACATTCCGAGACTTTAAACGCTTTCAAGTCGCTGACTTCCTTCAGGATCTACAAAATGCGGATTTTAATAAAATAATACTAGCCGATAATATTGATTTAAAAATTGAAACATTAAATATTTTAATTTTAAATTTGTTTGAAAAACATGCTCCCAAAGGAATTATCAAAATAAGCAAAATAAAATCACCCTGGCTTACCGATACTCTAAAATGTATGATAAAATTGAGGGATAAAGCTTTACAAAAATTCAATAAATTTAAAAACCCACATCACTGGGACTATTATAAGACATTACGTAACGAGGTCAATTACGCAATTAAACGAGAAAAAAGAGCTTACTTAGAATTCAGGCTGCGAAGTAAAAATAACATTTGGAAAGAATTAAAACATTTAGATATAATTCACAATAATAAAAAATTGCCTTTGAATATTCCTTCCCACCTGCAAAATCCTGACACGATCAACAATTATTTTATTATGGTATTGGAGGCAGTGATTCGCCAGACCCAAATATCCTGGAGAATTATAGCACATCGACTGTCGTAAATGTTGACACAATTAATTTTAAAACTGTACAGGAATTGAAAGTCTATGAAAAACTGCTCTCCATAAAATCCAATGCCACCGGTCCGGACGAGATAAATATTACCATGCTATTGCACTGCTGTCCTCTTATACTTCAATACCTCACTCACATTTTTAACTTCTGCCTTAGTAATTCTATATTTCCTTCGCTATGGAAAAAATCTCGAGTAATACCTCTTCCAAAAACAGACAAGCCATCGGAATATAGCCAACTAAGACCTCTAAGCATTCTTTGTACACTGTCCAAAGTATTAGAAAAAATAATGGGAGAACAAATAAGACTGCACATCTCCCAATTTGATATATTACCTATAAATCAGTCAGGATTTCGCCCAAATCACAGCTGTACTACTACACTACTTAAGGTTTTAGATGATATTTATTATGCAATTGATACTAACAAGCTTTGCATATTAGTACTCTTAGACTATTCTAAAGCATTTGACAAAATCAATCACAGTATGCTTAGATCCATTTGTCATTATATAGGATTTAGTAGTTCTTCCTTAAATCTGCTAAAATCATATCTAGACCAACGGACTCAAAAGGTCGTTCTAGGCGGAAAAAGTTCAAACGATATTTTAGTCACTCGCAGCGTACCTCAAGGGTCTATTCTAGGGCCTCTTTTATTCTCTTTATATACTTCGCAATTTCATAGACACCTTAAATATATGAAATCACACTTTTATGCAGATGATACACAACTCTATCTTGAATTTAAAGAATCTGAAATTGAAGAAGCTACACATAATATAAATGATGACTTGAGAACATTATCAGAATTGTTCACAAAATTTTGTCTATCAATTAATGGCACTAAATCTAAATCTATGTTATTTGGTCGAAAATTAGCTAAAAATCGTGTAAAAAATTCTGCTACTGTTCAGATTGATAATAAACCAATTGTTTTTTCAGACTGTGAAAAAAATTTAGGACTATATATTGACGACTCCCTCACTTTTTCTCAGAATACATCTTTTGTGGTAAAAAAAGCTTTCTCAAATTTAAAACTTGTATATTCGCACAGGGACTTATTAAATAAGCAGGCTAAGATGTTACTATGTGACGGTTTAGTTCTTTCACAACTAAATTACGGCGATGTAATTTATGGACCTGCTTTATCGCAATTTAACAAAAATCGTCTTCAGCGTATTCAAAATGCATGTATACGACTTATTTGCGGACTAAGACGTCGTAGTTCTACTTCACATCACATTGCGAATCTTGGCTGGTTGAATTTAAATAACCGAAGAGTACTACATGCCTCTTTACTTTTCAAAAAAATTATACTTACCAAAAAACCTACGTACTTGTACGAAAAAATTAAAAAAAGATCTGAGGTTCACAACATAAATGTTAGATTTAAAGACAGCATATCACTGCCAAAACATAACACAGCGCTGTTCCGATCCAGTTTCTCGTACAATATGGCTAAAATCTACAATCTCATCCCTACCAAATTTAAAACTCTACCTATTTCTAACTACAAGAAAAAAATAAAAGAATGCTTACTTAATGGAAGTATTCAATTTAAATTTAAATTTAATATAATTGATGACGGACCAACAAGCAGATCTACCTATCTCATTAACCAAACTGATTTTGTGAACATTTTTCCTTATTAATAATTATATTGTAATTATTTTATTATTTCAGTTTATTTTATAATTTTAGTTTATTTTATTATTCTAGTTTATTTTATTTTACTAGGTTGAGTGGAAGAGCAGATTCTACGGAAGATTCGACAGAATCCTCCCAAGAAATCTGAATTCTGCCTTTTGACTGTGAAATATCAATGTATCTACATGAATTATTGTTTTATTTGTCTCTTTGTAATTAACAGTCAATAAAAACCTTTATTATTATTATTATTATTATTATTAACAAGTGCAAAAACACACTTTTTCTACGCTCACATGGATATTACATTATCTACGCACAGATTACAAAACGAAAAAGTATGCTATTACCACAGCTTATCTATTACCTTCACCTGAACGAATATATTTCTTATCTATTCTAGGTAGTGAGAACACTGCAAAAAAATGAAATTCACCGTTCATATTTTGATTAACCGACTGCTATTATTTTTAAAATTTTAAATAAGCGACAATTCTGTCAAACCAATTGTTGGTAAATTTGTTAGTTATTGAGATTAAACATACATTAATTGAGTTATTCTTGTGTAGAATCGATAAATATAGCATTTATATTTCGTCTATAATTATAAATAATTTGTTAATTTAAATAAACATATATGAAGTCAATTTAATTATGAGTATTAAATCAAAAAAAAAAAAAATAATAAACGCGTAGATGGTCCTGTGGTTAGATTTCTTGCCTTAAATTAAAAATTGAGCGTAACGTAAATAAATAAAACCATAATATAATTTAATATTCCCACGTTAGATTTGAAGCTCTGGAAGGTGCTGCCTCTACAATAATAATCGGAACGTTTAAAAACATTTTACCAAATTAAACACAGGTAGCAGGATTGTTGGTGAACTCTCTGTACAACGTTGCCGGTTTGCCGTTATAATTTATAATTTCAAGAAGTTTTGTACATCTACAAATTATATGATCGCTTTAGGTATAAGAAAGATAAACAATGAAACCAGGAAGGGAAATTCAAAATTTTATATTTGATTGAAATCTAAAATTTGTGATTTATATTTATTTAGTTATTTATTTATTTTTGTTTGTTTATAATTACAAATTATAATTTTACAAAGGAACGGCATATAAATAAGAAAGGCGAATAGAGAGTTTTAAATTTTATTAAAAATCATTTTTGATTTATTTGTGTTGATTAAGTTATAGGTTGGTTTTGTTTTCTTTTTTTTTATATCCAATTTTAAATGTACACGATTGTACTTATGTATTAATTACAAAGCGTTAATAAAAATAATTTAGGTAAAATTCATTAGGCAGCTTTGTAACTAGGGAAAGGAATTTAAATGGATAAATAAATTAAACCAAATATAAAGTTATAAAAAAATTAGGACTTACTCATGATAAGGACATTTTTTTGAGGGCTATAAGAGATATTTAAGGGTTTAATACATTAAAAAAAACTTGTGGAATAGTAGTTAACAACTTCTTATTGTTATGAGGATTTAGTATAAATTTGAATAAAACATTTTGACAAATAACAGTTCTGCATTTCCTTTGGAAGAAGGGATGATTAAATCGTCGTCTGTCGTAACAGGACTTATGCTCCTAAAATTGTTGCCAGAATATTATTTTTAAGTTGTAGCAGATTTTTCATTCACATTTTTATTGATTAGACTTTGGTGTCAGATTTTGTAAAAGCTTGTGTGACTTGATAATTGCCTGCTGAGATATTTATTTCACTTTGAATAATTTCGTAGTTCCATATTTCGTGAACGTCTACTATCCACAAGTTCTACTCCATAATGATCATAAAAAAATGTGCTTATGTTGTTAATCATTGCCTTTGTGAACTTTTTATCATATTCAATCGTTTGTATGTGTAGTCCTTTAGGTGTCCAAATAACAAAACCACAATAATTTCTTTTAGAAATATAAAGTTGTCTTTGCACTTGATAAAAATATTTGTGATTCTTTTTGAATACATATTACATCTATCTTCAGCTAAGTAACAACAGAAATTTTTAATAAAACTTGCTGCTTCTAATGGTGTATATTCCTGGGCGGAGTAGGGACATTTAATTTCAATAATTTTGTAATCACCAACCAGACCGTCTGGCGATGTTCCTAAAAACCCGTATCCTTTTTCAGTGCAGACGAATAATCCACAAGGAGTCACAATATTTTTGGTTAAAGATGTATATGCTTCTTTTGCTACATCTTCGTTGATATTTCTATATTCCAACTGTATTAATTATGTACAAAAAATGTACATAATTGTCTCAACCAATTTTCCGAAGTATAGTCTCCAAAAGTAGAAGCTGTGAGACGGGATTGTCTCTCCTCGAACCATTTTGGGTTATTACTATGACCTCTTGTAGACTGTTCAATTCCGTCAGCTTCAACAATGGAGACGTTTAATTGGTCTATTAGTGTTTTGATTTCTTCTTCGCGAAGGACAAGTGTTAGACAATGTATTCCATAATCTTCTTTTTTAGGGTTTGAAGTTTGTACTTCTGTTGCAAACAGTCTCTTTCTACATTTTTTTAACTTAACGTTTTCCTTGCTTCTTTTATTTATCAACCGTTTGAGAGTATTCGATGGAGTCTTAGCAAATTTTCTTCGGTATGCTTTTAAGAACCAACTGGTACCAAATTGGTATGCTAAACTCGCTGCATTGCATCTTATATTAAAACTATTTCTACGGCCGTAAAATGTTTGTTTGCCTTTGTTAAATTTTGCGACTTGATGCATAAATTGCTCGCATCTATTACTGGTCATATGTTTAACAAGGCTGGAAGAATGTGAAGCAAAATTTCCTAATATACGAAATATTCGTAATCGCGTCTCAGTAGGGGCTTGTGGATTGGACCAAAGCTGCCTCAATAAAATGTTGTGGTAAAAAAATACTTTTTCCTTTTATTTGTAATAATTTCACAAAATTGGCAATTAGACAAGAAATGTAATTGAATTTATTATTTTATATTTTGTTGCCCACATATGCTATTCCTAATGATGATATTGGCTCATGGCTTTTTTTTCCGAAATTTTTGGTTCAAATTAAAACCCAAGTCTTTCCTTAAAATAAACTGGAAAAGTCGTAAAGTAGAAAAATACCACGTAGAACATTCACTTTGAGTTTGTTATTTTTTATTAAAAAGAGGATAATTTCCTGTACTTCAATGTTTTTTTTTTTTTAATTTTGACCGTTACTGCACTAGAATTTGGAATTTATTCCGCAACAGTGTGGTGCTAAAAATTAATAAAAATATAAAGACGTTCTATTTGTTTATGAAATATTTTATTAAGTTATTTTGTTTATTAATTGGAGTTACAAATTTGTCTACTTTTAATTATTTTAAAACACTTTCAGACTCTGAAGTGTTCAATTGCGTGTTTCTCAAAAACGGTTAAAATTATTAAGTTTAAACAAAAGTAGAACAGTTTTACACAAAAATTATGTTTGTATCATATTCTCTAATCAAAATTACCTAGAAAAAAAGGTATATTTTATGTTTGACAAAATCTATAATATAACTGTTTATTTCCAGCTAATAAGATATCAAAATTACTAAAAAAGTTTCATCGAAGAAAGGTGTCTCAATTTCATTATCGGGAATTGCACACCCAGTAACAAAATATAAAATAATAAATAATATTTTTTCCGTAAAGTTATGCCTCCGTGTCAATTTTAATAATATGAATATTTTGTAAAATTATTAGCAAAAAAACGAAAACAATATTTTAACTTAAACACCCGCTAGAAACCTTACGGTTGGAACGGAAATGCAGGTTCTATATCCTATTTTTTTAAAAAGTTTATTGTCCAGCTATCTGTTTAGATACCTTTGTTTTGTACAATCTGTTTTGTGCAACGTGCAACATTTCAGTGAATGATCTGAGATCGGTCCGCGTTGTCAAATTTTCGCCAAATTCTTTATTTCCAATTAAAGACCCTGTACGCTCTTTGTTACATTTATCACTTTAATAATAATACTATTTATAATAAACTAACATTGTTTTCAAATAAAAAAGTAAAATCAATAGATGTCTTATGTTTAAAATAATATTTGAATTGGTTTATTTGCAAAGGTAGGTAGTACTATGGAAATGAAAAATAGGTACCTAAGTATTAAGGAAAAAATATGTGGCAACGCACTTTTATCCTTTTTCTTTGACCTGTTTTTTTAAAGCAGTGGATTGCATAATTATAAATAAATAAATAAATCAATGTTTACAAAAGTATTTATATTATTTAAATAGAATAATTTACCAAAAAAAAAATGCTTATTTTATGAACTTCTAACGTAACCTAATTTTACGTGAAGTTATTGTACTTTTCTTGCAGGCGTTATAGAACAATCAACAATTTTTTTAATCTTCATTAATTCTACCTATCTATTTCGATTGTGATATAAATCAGGGTTTTTAATATAAACATTTTATATGTAGTAATTCAATCCTATATATTTACTTTTTTAAATGTAAGCCTCTTTTTGACTTTTTCTTGAGTACAAGGGACATTTTTAATAATAAACACAAAAACTCAATGAGAAATAGTATATATAGAACAATAAGTGACTCAAAAACAACACTAGGCACAGATCAAAAACTTGTAAAATGACTGGTGTAGATATGACAATAGTGCATAACGAGAACGCTCTATTTCCATGCAGCATCTAGTGAGTATTAGCAAAAAAATTTTTTAGTTTGAAATCCAGTAGAGAGGTTAATAGTTTTCTACATTCCTAAAAAATTAACGTATTGCTTGTAGAGCCATCTCGCGTTGGCGAAACGAAAAAAATGCTGGAAATCTGTTAACGTCAAATCAGTTACAGTTCACGTGCTGTCAAAGTTAAAGGTGACTTGACATTTTTTCCGGTAAAAGTGTTGATTAATTGCACTAATCAACTCTAATAGCTTATGAAAAGAACGTTATGGCTATGAAGACGCTTTTTTACTTCGTTTCACTCTATGTACTGCCGTAGAAAAAACAAATTTTGAAGATGTTTAACCTTTATCTATACTAATGTATTTTTTATTTCATTAAAAATCAAAAATAGACTATAAAATGGGATTAGGATCTTGGGACTGGGTTTCCCCTCCCTCCTGCCTCAATTTTTGCTGCTATTCTTGCTGTTATTAATTTTTAATTAATATGTTTTGCTCATCAAAGATAAAATTCAATATTTTTTTTTTTTTAGAAACTGGAAGAAAGTACACACTTTTCCAAATACTCGACAGAAAAGCAGAAAACGACTACAAGGTTCCTGACACAGGTTTAATAATAAAAAAAGGAACCAAGATTTTTATTCCGTATTATGCTTTCCATATGGACGAAAAATATTTTCCAGAACCTCAAAAGTATATCCCAGAAAGGTTCTTGGATAAAACTGTTAATGCCGATGGTATTTATTACATGCCTTTTGGGGAAGGACCAAGAAGTTGTTTGGGTAATTGTCCATTTATATTTAAGTATATTACAAGATCCTGACCTAAATCAATTTTCTGTCATTCTTTTTCCTAATTAAAAATATATATTTTATACAATATAATGTATAAATAAATACACATCATGCCAGGCTCTAGTATATTTTTCATTAAAAAATATTTGATTAAATTTTGATCGATAGTTAAAAAAGTGCTTTTTTTCTGAAAAATTTAATAACATTCAAGAGTAAAAAATTTTAAAAAAATCGCCAAAATAGGAATGGCTACCTTTTTCCTGGCCATAATACCGGGTTAGCAGGTAAAAACAGCTAAGTTGAAATAAGTAATTTCCCGTTACCATTTTTCTTAATAGTTTATGTTTATATATAAAAATGTAAATAATTTTATTACGAACACGGTGGTGTAGAGTGGGGCTTGGCAAAAGTTGGCCGATCTTACGGTTAGCGCGATTTTTAATTTGGATAATTCAGTAAGAGAGTTATATGATCAAACGTCCTGCCAACTAATCTTCGATGTTGCTGTTTATAAAATTCTCAATAATAGTTATAATCTAACTTACCAATCAGAAAAAAATATCACCTTACCTGCAAAAAAAACAAAATGTTAGTTTATCCTAATAATGAGAATAAATCTGTAAATATCACCTTACCTGCAAAAAAAACAAAATGTTAGTTTATCCTAATAATGAGAATAAATCTGTAAGACAAGACACATACAAAAATGGATTTTTCTGTTTTCTACGTCAATCTGCAAATGCGCTAAAGTAGAAATAAATGATCATTAGAAATTTTCGTTTGTAATATTTTCGTATGAAATGCACTTAGTATACAAGTTGGTGTATAAATTAAAAAACAGTTTATTACAAGGAGGGGTATCGGGAGCATCTACAATCGCATAAGCCAATGCACAAAAAAATTAATTAAAGTATCATTTGACAAAACGTTGAATGCATTAATTTATGTGATTGTCAATGATCCCGATATTAGAAGGTGTATTCAAATTATATCACAAATTAAGAAAACATGACAGCTCAATATATTTCAGTTACAGTATAAAAACAATAACAACATATATTTAATTAGGAAAAAGGCTGGTGTAAGGTAGATACATCCACATACTCGCAACAGTTAAGCAGTGATCTCTCCGGTCACGTCGTGGATGCGTGACCGCTGTGAGGTTTCACCATGGGACTCATCCAACTAGGGCTTAACCATCGATGACGTGGAATGAATGCAGATAAATGAGGGAGTAAATTGGTGAATAGGAAAGTAGTAGAACCTTAAAATGGTGGTACAATAAGCCACAGGCTGCAGTGCCGCCAGGCTAAAGACGGATTAGGGTGTAGAACGGGAGGTCCAAAGAGTGTAAAACTAAAAACTAAAAAAATAGAAGGTAGATTTAAGTCGGGATCTTAGACTACTAAGATTATTATCTGACTATTTCAATTATTTTTTTCAGGAGAACGCTTTGCCCAGATGAGTATGAAAATATTTCTAGCTACGTTTTTGAGATCATTCAAAGTTGAACCCTGTGATAAGACTCCTAGTGAAATAACATTTAACCCAAACAGTTTTGCTATGATATCAAAAGATGGAATTAATCTTAGATTTAAACGTCTTGATGAAAATTAAAATTTCCCTTTTTTTAGGAGGATATTAAATAGGTATTTTGATTTTGTAATTATTGAGAAATGTTTATTTTTAAGTATTTGGTTAATAAATTTATTATCTATATAAATGTTTATTTATTCTTTCTGTTGACTTAACGTAATTTTCGCTCATCGCGAAATAGTAGATAAAAATTTAGATCCTTAACAATATTAATTATAAACAGGATAACCAAAAAAGGTGTAGACAACTGTATGTGCAAAGGTTAAAAACTTAACATAAAAACAACCTGTATTAGTTTTATAAAAATTACCAAGACTCAAAAGGAGTGGTTCTGCTATAAAAATTACAAAATAATAAATACACAAAATAAAAAAAAAAAAAATTAAAAATCTTGAACTTGTCTCTTCTCATTCCTCTGCTTAATCCTTGTCTCCGTTTGTCTATATCGTCTGCGCATGTATCCGTGTTTAGCTCTATTTGTCTCTGCTCTACCTCGTGTATTTTTTATACCTCTTCTTCTCCTGTTTTGTCCTGCATCTTTGTATTTTTATATTTCTTTTCATTAAAATTTTTTTGAACCGTCTTTTTGAATTCAACTTCAAATTTTATACCAATTTTAACAATTTTTTTAACATTTATCCATATAATTTTCGTTAATCATTCCAAAAAAGCTTTAACAATTTAATTCTGATTTTCTAATTTAATGTTGATTCCTAGAAACTTTAGCACACCAGCATAAATAAATTTTAAAAATTTTGATGAAGTCATGAATTTCCATATCAAACCTGCAAATTAATTGTTCACTCAGTATATTTCTGTAATATACTGTGAACAATGAATTAAAATCTCCAAATTTCAAATTTTTAAGCAAAATATTCAAATTTATTTGCCCTTTATTTTCACTTTATTTGGCACTAATTTTAAGTTTATTTGTTATATTTTTATATTCCTTCTTCCTTTCTTTATTTTGCTTCCAATTTTTATCTATTTTCTTTCTTCTTAAATTGTTCACTTTCCGTTTTTCTTTTTTTGATTTACTAATTTTATTTACGTCTTTTCCTATAATGTGAATCTGCCTTTTTTATTTCCTACTTTCTTTTCCTTCAATTTCTACTTTTATTTTTTTTATATTTACTTTCCTAATTTCTATATTCATATCAATTTCCTTTGCTTCTATATTTATTTCTTCTTTATTTAATTCTAAATTTTCTTCTATTTGTTTGTTTACTTTACATCTTTTTAATTTGAATCTGACTTCTTTCATATTCTTTGTTTCTTAACTATTATATATATTTATATCATTTTGTCCGATTTACAATCATCAATAATTTATTTCTTAATCTCTTTTTGTGTTTGCGTCTAATTTATCCATTTTCTTATCTATTTTCCTACTTTTTTACATATTTCTTCAATTTTTTTTTCTTGATCTCTATTCAATCCAATGAGCACTTGCATAAGATCTTCCAACTTTATTACTTTTATCTTAAAAACAAAAAAACAAAAAAACAAAAAAACAAAAAAACAAAAAAACAAAAAAACAAAAAAACAAAAAAACAAAAAAACAAAAAAACAAAAAAACAAAAAAACAAAAAAACAAAAAAACAAAAAAACAAAAAAACAAAAAAACAAAAAAACAAAAAAACAAAAAAACAAAAAAACAAAAAAACAAAAAAACAAAAAAACAAAAAAACAAAAAAACAAAAAAACAAAAAAACAAAAAAACAAAAAAACAAAAAAACAAAAAAACAAAAAAACAAAAAAACAAAAAAACAAAAAAACAAAAAAACAAAAAAACAAAAAAACAAAAAAACAAAAAAACAAAAAAACAAAAAAACAAAAAAACAAAAAAACAAAAAAACAAAAAAACAAAAAAACAAAAAAACAAAAAAACAAAAAAACAAAAAAACAAAAAAACAAAAAAACAAAAAAACAAAAAAACAAAAAAACAAAAAAACAAAAAAACAAAAAAACAAAAAAACAAAAAAACAAAAAAACAAAAAAACAAAAAAACAAAAAAACAAAAAAACAAAAAAACAAAAAAACAAAAAAACAAAAAAACAAAAAAACAAAAAAACAAAAAAACAAAAAAACAAAAAAACAAAAAAACAAAAAAACAAAAAAACAAAAAAACAAAAAAACAAAAAAACAAAAAAACAAAAAAACAAAAAAACAAAAAAACAAAAAAACAAAAAAACAAAAAAACAAAAAAACAAAAAAACAAAAAAACAAAAAAACAAAAAAACAAAAAAACAAAAAAACAAAAAAACAAAAAAACAAAAAAACAAAAAAACAAAAAAACAAAAAAACAAAAAAACAAAAAAACAAAAAAACAAAAAAACAAAAAAACAAAAAAACAAAAAAACAAAAAAACAAAAAAACAAAAAAACAAAAAAACAAAAAAACAAAAAAACAAAAAAACAAAAAAACAAAAAAACAAAAAAACAAAAAAACAAAAAAACAAAAAAACAAAAAAACAAAAAAACAAAAAAAACAAAAAAACAAAAAAACAAAAAAACAAAAAAACAAAAAAACAAAAAAACAAAAAAACAAAAAAACAAAAAAACAAAAAAACAAAAAAACAAAAAAACAAAAAAACAAAAAAACAAAAAAACAAAAAAACAAAAAAACAAAAAAACAAAAAAACAAAAAAACAAAAAAACAAAAAAACAAAAAAACAAAAAAACAAAAAAACAAAAAAACAAAAAAACAAAAAAACAAAAAAACAAAAAAACAAAAAAACAAAAAAACAAAAAAACAAAAAAACAAAAAAACAAAAAAACAAAAAAACAAAAAAACAAAAAAACAAAAAAACAAAAAAACAAAAAAACAAAAAAACAAAAAAACAAAAAAACAAAAAAACAAAAAAACAAAAAAACAAAAAAACAAAAAAACAAAAAAACAAAAAAACAAAAAAACAAAAAAACAAAAAAACAAAAAAACAAAAAAACAAAAAAAACAAAAAAACAAAAAAACAAAAAAACAAAAAAACAAAAAAACAAAAAAACAAAAAAACAAAAAAACAAAAAAACAAAAAAACAAAAAAACAAAAAAACAAAAAAACAAAAAAACAAAAAAACAAAAAAACAAAAAAACAAAAAAACAAAAAAACAAAAAAACAAAAAAACAAAAAAACAAAAAAACAAAAAAACAAAAAAACAAAAAAACAAAAAAACAAAAAAACAAAAAAACAAAAAAACAAAAAAACAAAAAAACAAAAAAACAAAAAAACAAAAAAACAAAAAAACAAAAAAACAAAAAAACAAAAAAACAAAAAAACAAAAAAACAAAAAAACAAAAAAACAAAAAAACAAAAAAACAAAAAAACAAAAAAACAAAAAAACAAAAAAACAAAAAAACAAAAAAACAAAAAAACAAAAAAACAAAAAAACAAAAAAACAAAAAAACAAAAAAACAAAAACCAAAAAAACAAAAAAACAAAAAAGCTAACCTCGATGCTTCGCGTGTAATATACTATTAACCAATACAAGCCTACCCTCCTAATTTACCTCAGGCTTGTCCAATTGAGGATTTTTGTTTACTTTTATCTTGCAAAGTGAAGGATATAGGATAATGATGAGCAACTACGGCGTAGAATATTTAGAAAGATACGCGAAATAGATGTTAGCCATAGAGAAATAAAAAGAGAAGGTTTGAATAAATGGCGGGACTTGTTTCCTTGTTGGTACTTGAACCGTAAGCGCTTAGCGCGCTGCTATCACTAAATTCAAACCCGTTTTACACCCATAAAAAAATATGTTTTCAAAAATAATGACAAAGAAATCAATAATTTTACTGATTTACCCCTTTAAATTTCACTTTAATATAATATGTGATCAAATACAGGGATAATCGTTAATAAATTTAAAGTTAAAGCTAAATTTAAATATTATTAGATGGTGTAAATCTGGCTTTGAAAATAAATTAGGTTATGTTGCTATAAATATGTCAATATTTTTTTCAAATGTAGGTGTAAATTGTATTAATTAAGTGTAAGTTAGATTTAACTAATTTAACTATAGGGAGGTTCTTAAGAAAATCATTAACTTCTGATTCATTTAAATTTTAATTGCAGAAGTAAGTATTTTTCTCACAAAACTAACAAGAAATTTTATGTTTTTCCTGCTATTATTACTCTAGAGATAAATGGATCCACATTTTAAACATTTGCGGTCAAAAAAATAAAAGGAGTTGTGAGCGAAATGTGTGAAGCCAATTTACAAACAAATATTGTAGAACCCGAGATAGAACTTCATCCTAGTTTTACTCATAAAGACCATGATGAAAAAAGGCAAATGATTTGTGCTCAAAAAGTTATTATTCAATTTTTGGGTAATATTAATTATTATATTTATCAAATAATACCCAAATATGTTCAAAAACTTATATGCTATTTAGGCCAACTTGTTAATTTTTGCATAGTTCACCTATTAAGATCATAAATCAGATGTTTTCTATTTTTATTGAAATTTTTATACCTTTTATTGCAAGAAAAATGTAAGAATTTAAAAAAGTTATGACTCGTGTTAATTTTTAATTTTAAGATACACACTGCACCTTTATTTTTGCTTTGTTTTAGATATTCCTCGGTATGGAGATTTTTGGAATGTACATAAATGTGTTTCTTAATTAGGGTGAGTTTCAAAGCCCACCTGTATTGAAGCTAGAGGGTTATTGTACCCGAAATAGGCATTACAACTATTCTAGATTGAAATAGATGGGAAAAGGCCTTAAAGGGGCAATAGGTATAAGAATATTAGAATTATAATGATTTGTCCTTGGATTAATAAGGGATATTTAAAACATTAAAACAATTGTGTCTATAAATTAACTACTTTGACTTTTTATAAAAACTATATTCGGTTTTTTTAATAATAAAAACATTGTCATGTGCTATGCTGGTTATCATTTTATATTTTTATTTTTCAGTAATTTAGTGTGTGATATAGTGCTTGTTATGTTCAAAATATGCAGTTAGAAGATAATCTTAGATTAAAGAGACCGAAGATGTAACATTGCACACTGCGCATGTTGTCTATTTTAA